AACTTGTGTCGCCTCAAAATAAAAAAGTTGGTTACGTATCCTTTCACGACGTTGCAGAACCAGGACCCAGGATTTTTGTGGCTGTTATGGTTTTTAGGGCAAAATTACGTCCAGTAGTTTGCCATTGCTTTCTTGACGGTTTCTTGATCCTACTATCGAAACCAACGCAAGGCGCAAGGCCCGCATCTGGAATCAAACCCCGCATCTGGAATCAAACCCCGCACCCAGGCATTACGAAGAGCGTTCGCAACGTTTAATCCACGGACGTCGACTACCTCAAAGAAAACCCCATACCTTTCTCACATCGGATTTCATGTATTCACAGTCTTCTCCTCTCTCTCTCTCTTTCTCTCTCTCTGATACCCTCCCCCTACCCCCTTTTCTCTCTATCTCTTCTCAATCTTATATATATATATATATATATATATATATATTATATATATATATATATATATATGATTTCATATACCTCTTTCTTCATACCCATCTCTTCATTTCATATATATATTATTATATATGTCTCTTTCTTTTACGAGAATTTACCGTGCTCTCATAGCTTTCTGCGTATCCGGCATGATGTCATCATCACTTCTTGCTGCCGCCCGTCTACCGAATGGCCGAAACTTAGGCTACTTTTCCACTTTAGATATCCCGTCATTTTTCTCTTTTGTCCTTTTTCCGCCGCATCTGGGTCTCACTGATATCCCTTCGATTACCCAGCGGCCGAAACCATTCTTGTCGCTTTGGTGGTTCCATGGGAGTTGTTCATGTCTGTGTTCTACCTCCCTAACCAAGATAACTTGAAGCTCCGCAACATCCCGGTCACTGCTGGTGCTAGTCTGCGCATCCTGCCCTGCAGCTCACGTTCTCAAGGGTCCGTCTGAAAACTTCATCTTCCGTTGAAATTTAGAATGTTGAATTTAGAATCATAGCGCTAAGCTTCACTCCAATAAAGCGCGCCATCCCTATCTTTAGCAGATAGCGAAGACTTTCAATTCCGATGGTTCCAGTAACTGTTTGTTTGTAGATCTTTTTTCTTCTTCTTCTTCTTCTTCTTCTTCTTCTTCTTCTTTCATTCGTCTGAACTTTTCTAGTATGAACTTCAGTGTCTGTTGTAATACACTCAAGGCTTGTAAAATTTGGCTTGCACCGGCGTTTCTCTTGGCCACAAGTTTTGCCTTGATATGTTGTATCTGGGACCGTCTTGGAGGGCGTGATCTGTTGTCTCAGGTGCCAATCCACATGTGCACATGGCTGATTAGCCGATTTTAAATTATGCGTAGACATGACTGCGAAGTCGACTGTGTCCTGTTCTAAAGCGTAGAATAATAACTTGCTCTGGTCTGTGCATAAATGGTAATCGTCTTGTGCCGGTTTTGGTGCCTTTGTTTTTGATTTGTTGATAAGAGACTGGTACGTTCAGGTTGTTCTTCATTTGTACCTTTCTTGGCTAGTTTATTAGCTTTTTTGTTTTGTTTGTATATCCATCTCGCCTTTCCCTTGAGTGTTGAGCGTCGACAAATCCCCTGGTAACTCCCCGCAGCGCCATTCTCCTCATAATGATCTGTGTGTGCCTCCCCAATGTTGAGAGGGCCTTGGCAACATCTAGCTTGTCATACATCCATTCACTATCTAGTGGTGAAGCATAGACCAGAGTACCAGCCGGCTTGTTTCTCAAAACATCGACATGACCTGGCGAAAATATCCAAACGACGCTAACTACCCGGGACCTCTGAAGTGATGCTTGCCACTATGCACGGAACATTCCTGTCTCCACCATTCTCAACAAGTCATTTACAATTACGCCACGTGTGTACATCTG